AGAAATGACTGTAATCAATTGAACTGGAACTTGACTCTGCAACTTAGACTTTCATATCAATGTGTTTGTGGTTATTTTCTCCATCATTAGACAAGAATGTTTGCACTTCCTCTTCTCTGGCAACAGAAATGCAATAAAAGTACAGCAAAACATCCCATTACCACCATTCCTATTGGTTAACATGTAATTTAGAGCATTTAATCCTCAATTTGCTGTCGGCATTCATGATATATAGGCTAAACCTGTAAAACATTTGGATGAATTGAAATTAAAACTTAACCACGAAAAGCAAAATGTAACACTGAGTTTTCTATAAAGTCAATTAAACTCACTTTGGAATATTATTGGTATCATACACTCTCTAACAACATTTTGAAATTATATCCTCTAATTCTGCTTTTGTTGCAGAACGTGTCCAGGGAAAGACGGTGCGTTCATTATGTATTTGGTGCAATAACACAGTTAGATTAAAAAAAAACAATTGGCACACGGGCATCATTACTTTCTCAGTGTTGTTAGGGCAGGTCAAACCAAACCAAACCAGAGCAGGCCAAGGTGCCAATGTCAGAAGGAACCACCACCTTAGAGAGAGTGTGAGTTGCTGCCACGAGTGAGGAGATCAGGTGGGCGGTGTTTGGTCTTGGTTGCGGTCCTCCCATGACTCATTGTACAAATGTCAGACAGCAGGTATGAATAGGAGAGCTGTCACAGAGAGAGTTTTTTAAATGTTTGATTTTCTGCGATATATTTAAAGATGGGTCACCGTTGTCAACATCAGCGCGTTCTGCAGATGAATGTGGATTTACCTCGTCTCTGAACTGCTCTCACAGGTAAAATGACAATAAGCACATCTTCCTGCGCTTGCTTTTTGTTTGGTGTGTGGGCGTCCACGACACTCGTGGTAATGTATTGAGTTCAAAATAGCAAGTGTTGAGTTTCTTCTGACACCTGTGAAACCGGGACATTTATAACAGCATGAAATACGTATTATATCATGCAATAACTAAAATAAATATTATAAGGGTTTTTTAAACATAACAAATATATATACGTTTTTAGCTATGCCTTAGTGTATTCAGTTGATTGTGTCCCTTTTGCTTCTGAGTTTTACCACCTACATTTTGTATTGTGTTAAATGTATCAGACATTACTGCAATGTGACATTATGTCTTTTGAAGAGCTACGTGGATTTTAATAACTCTTGATTGATGAATCAGTTTAAAAAGTGATTTTATGTAATACTTTAAAATGCATAATCCTAGAAAATGACAAGTCACAACCTTAAAAAAAAAAGAAAAATATATTTAACCCTTAAGAACCCAAGGTGACACAGGTGTCACAGACACATTCAGAAATGTGTTCCATGTGTTTCATTTAGTCGGTTTTATATCCCCGATAACTTTCCTTTACGGAAAAATGGGTTTGGGTTCTTAAAGGCTAAATTCCCCACTTGATTTTATTTTATATGTTTATTTAAAGGTAGTTTTAATGCACATGGTGTGTGGTTCTAATTTGTGGATATAACAAAATCTGTATGACCTATGAATTCAGACACAAGGTATTTCTGACACAGTGTATCAGAAAAACTACTATTCATTGGGTTGTTTTTATCACTTGTGAGGAATGAAAATCTATTGAAAAGCACTGATAACATTACATTACCGTTATTGTTTTATGTAGCGATCTAAGAATCAACCGAAAAGTAATGATTACGCTGTGTGGTAAATTGGGCCTGGCCTTGTTTGTTGCCTTTGAAACCAAAAGAAACAAACACGGTAATTTCTAGGTAATTAATCTGTGTTTACCATTTAGCCACATAATTACTATGTCAATACCAGATCACATGTGTGCGGCGTAAAATAAACTGCAGTTTAGCGTTTTGATGTACAGTAAGATGCCCTCTGGGATCCAAACAGTGAGACTGTCTGTGCTGTTGTGAGCCAGTGCAAAATAATTTCTTTCTTATATGAGTCTTTTTCTGTTGTTGCGGTTTGTATTTTAGTGTGTTTGTGTAAAGATTCTCCCTGTCGGTGTATGTGCTTGCGAACATATTCAGTTATCCGTCTCCGTCTGGCTTTGGAAAACTTTAAAAAACACAAAGAACCACTGTAGATGATCATTTTTTATACTTAAGATCAGATTCAAGATGGATCACAAGCGCCCAGATAACAAGAACATGAATGTCCTTTCTTAGGATAAAACTCCCGAGGCTGAAAACAGAAGACTTCTTTCTGGCAAGCAGACCGTCAACCTTTCAGATTATCAGTCACTGTCAGGCAGAGAAAGTGACAGGCAGATTAAAATAGTACTGGCAGTGTTTGATCTGAACACGGTCCCCCAGAGAACCGAGTGATCCACATCGTCAGGCATGATGCAGCACAGTTCGCTTACCACTCTCTGGATATGAGTCACGGTCTTCCCACGCACACTACAGTGCATGCACACAATAGCAGTGTACTGTTATCTTCTGTGCTCTGCTCTGTGTTTTTGGTGTTCGGCATCTTCCAACAAATTATACACATTTGGAAAACTCTTGCACATTGCATGAACTCATAACTCCTTTGTACCTTGACATACAATCTCTAGTTGCAGGCAATCCCAAACCTCCTGCGCTGTTCAAAGATTTAGCTGTCCTGCTCCAACACAATTTTAAAAAAAGAGCAATTTGAAGGATGCAGTCACTATCCAAATAAATCAATCAACGGGCCCGATAATGAAAGCCATCCCAGCGCAGTGCCGCTTTAATGACAGCAGATATAGGCTCAGTGTCACTCACTGTCATGGGAGAGAGAATTAAGGCCAATTTGATGCTAATCCGGACCAGATTTTTCTCTCTTTGGGCCCAGCGGTATTTCCTATCAACACAGGAAACTCCTTCAGGGCTGATAGGTCGACCTCAACTACATCATAAAACTTCATAGCTGTCTGTTGTAGGGAAGCACATTTGATGACCAATTTCACCCCCCATAAGAGCAAGTCATTCCTCCCCATGTTAATAGAGCAGCAATGAGCAGCAGCTCGGATGAATCAGAGTGTTTTGCATGAGCTAACTTTTTACAGAGGAGTACTGAAGCTGGGGAAGGACATGCAACTTGATGACACAAACAGATAGGTGTTGCACTTTGAGATTAGCTAATATACTCATCAGGAGAGTGTGTGTACTTAAAGTGTTTTAGGTGTGTGTTTGCGGGCCGCCCCATCGGCAGCGCTGGGCCTCCTTTTGCTCTTTCAGCCACAGAGTGAGTGTGTGTGTGTGTGTGTGTGTGTGTGTATCTTCTAGATGTAAAAGTAGACGACATAGATTTGCGTCTCTGGAATTTGTCGCTGTGAGCCGTGGGCCGTGACTGAAAGCAAAATACTCCAGTAAGAGTGTATTTGGAACGGTTCACACACAAATGAAAATCTCTCCAGAGTTGTTTTGACAGTTTAATGAATACACTTTGTGTTTTGTGAAATTAAATGAGCCGTGAAACCTTATTTTCACTCTGATCTGATGAAAACAGGACAAAGAGGGAAATGTATTTTAAACTAATACAAGAAGCATGAGTTGTGTTGTGATCTTCATCGGAGGCTCATCAGAAACAACACAAAAAGAAGAATTGGCCCTCTGTGTGCTGGCACAGTCCAATTGTTTGGCTTCCTCCAATGACATATTCTTAAATGGCCATTACTTGGTGGTGATTAGATATTGCCAATCAGTGAGAGGAAAACAGCGAGTCTTCAAAAAAAAGCCTTGGAAATAAGAGCCTACAGCTGAAATCCCAGGCATGTGTTTGCGATTGTCATTTATTGTCTTTGCCATGGGAAAAAGTAATGCGCCTTTCTAGTTGTGCTGCAGTCTGGGGACCGGGGGTACACTTTCATATTACAATATGTTATTTATCTTTTATTCGTATACTGCTTGACTACATCCCTGCCCGTCGCACATGTGTGACACTTTTAGACGGACATTTTTCTACCGTCGCACTAATTGTGTTCTATGAGAGCAATTACACGTATAAACTGTTTAATTTTAAAATAACATTTTACCATTTGATACAGAGAAAACTGAACGGTAAATGTTGTAATTACAATGATTAATACTAACAATAAAATAAACTCTTTTTTACCGGATTGGAGTTTGATCAGCAAGATTACGCCTCAACAACCTTTTTATTTTATCATGAAATCAATCAAAACATTAATTGATAAAAGTGCATCTATTTAAATTTATTCTCATTTTAAATGAAAGCCAGAGTAAAAGCATCTGTTTGGAAATCACGCTGAATTTGATCAGACATGACTATTAACACTTTCTGTTTCTTTGAAGTTATATATTGTGGTCAAAGCTCAGTGAAATATTTGAAATAGCATAACTTGGGTTGGGAAATAAGTTGGGACCCTCCATTCACAGTTCTTGATCTCCTTTGCACAAACATGTATGTTGCATGCTGAGCGTGTCTGCTTGTATTGATCCTAATCCGCACATCAAACCACACAAAGGCATAAAAAATATCTCATGATAAGAAACACATTGAACAACTTCACATGAGGACTATTTCATTCCTCCTGCTGACACAGAAAACAAGTACGCTGTTGTCCATCTTTGAACTCAAACAACCTTTTGGAATTTACGAACCATTCGTGTCTTTTTCCCCTGTTTGGTTTCAGTTACTGACATCATTTATTAATTATGTGGCATTGTCTCTGGTTTGTTTTGGTCATAATCTACAGCTGGAATAATAGGAAACTCAGATACTGTATGTTGCATTTAGAATCATGTTTGAAAATAATGAATATATATCAGGACACCACAAAATAATAACGGGCTTTTCATTCAATGTAGATTAAAGATACACATTTATGATCAGTGATTTTCAATATATTTGAAAATACCATATATTCTCTACGAGCATACTGTCTGTTCGCTGCATGGCATTTAAACAGGACTTGTCATTATGAGTGTCTTTCGTCTCCCCTAAATTTCATTTTGTCTTTTTCTGTTTCTGTCCTTCTCACAGTGGATGCTGAGCAAGTGAGTTCACTGGGATCTGAGGGGGAGGATGAGGTGGGCCTGTGGAGCCTGGAGCCCCAGGACTGCCAGGAGAGCCTGGACAAGGCAAGCTTGACACCCAGCGAGGGGACGGAGGAGCCCGTCAGCCCCGCTCGCTCCACGCGGCCGCACAGCCTCAGCCCCGGCAGCAGGAGCTACTGGCCGCAAGTGGAGCAGGAGGCCGAGGCCGCAGAAGACGCCACCACCGCATCTACCACTGACAGAGAGGGAGACCAGGGACCACTGAGGATGTACTGTAAGTTCTAAGCAAATGTAGACAAAAACTGTAAAACTTCAGCTTTGAAGTTGAGCCTTTGTTTTTCAAACGGTTTCTGAAGAATGAAGGCCGGGCCAAGAAAGTGTGTAAAGTGTAAAACATGATACTCGGAGGTGGAAAGAGGAGCCTACTAGAATACTGTTACTTTTTTTTTACCATCGACTGTATGCTTTTTTTACACACCTGCAGCGTCTTCACTGCTGCAGCTGCTGATTTATCTCCTTTCTTCCGTTCCATTCTCTCACAGTTTATCAGGACATTGTTAAATGTGACTTTTGTTGTGAATTTGTAACAGATGTAACTTTAAATGAAGCGAAGTACAATACTTGTGATGAAAAAAACTAGGCTACTTATGTCAAAGTAAAATTCCAGATTTTTAGAAAATACCCGAAAAAGTTCTGTATGAGCCTGCTGCGTAGGACACCACTGTATGTGTTGGCTAAACTCATTTACAGTGTTTTTCTGATGCAAGACACCGGCAGTCTCATGATGCCTCTCACAGCCCTCTAGATACACCTTCATATCAGCTCCTTGTGAAACCATGCCTTCCCTACAAGCTTTTCCTCTTTTTTTTCACTCTTCTCTTTGAAAAAGGCAGCCTTCTGAAAGCATGACAAAAGAACTCATCCCACACAATGTCACAATATTTCCATGCATCAAAGAGGTGACGTTACGGTACTGAAATCAGCACTGCGCGACGTGAGGCTTTCCCTTTTATTTAGGAGAGATCAAAGGCTCACGCGGCTTGCCTACTAACAATCACTTAGCTCCTTCGCCTCGTGTGATTTGGCCTTGCCTGATGAAGGCAAAGCTGAGTTTTTACAACACTCAACCACACAGGCTCTTCCCTTCACCACATAAAAAAACAGCTCAAAATATGCCAACATCTGCAAACATTTGAAAAATCTTCCTCAAAGTCCCTGTAAGCTGGCTTGATTCATGATAGGAGGCGCCCTCTCGTCTTCATGTGGCTTTCTCTCTCTGCCTGCTCTTCTGTCACTGCACTCAAGGACACAAGAAAGAATTCTTTGAATCTGATATCTGGCCAACTAGTTCCCCAAATACATTGTTTTTATCAGTCAGTAAACAATTTAGATCCATTAGATTCAGTTGCACAGTGTCACTTTACGATTGATCCCCACTCGCGCTGCACACATGAATATTTGAGCAAGACATGTACATTCACACGGAGTAACCGTTTTTAAAATATCTTATATTCAACACATGAAAGCAGCAAACGTTCAACCTCACTGACAAGAGTGCTGACCAAATAAAACGATGAATTCAAAAGGAGAGGTCGTATAACAATGCTTTATATTAAACTGCTTTATAACGGGATATTGTTTATGGTCTTTTGTGCAGCGTGTGTTATACTTTTCTTTGTCTGTTTTTGTTGTCTGCATTGTATTTATTCTCTGCTTTTATGCCCCCCTCGCTGCCAAGATTTTTATTAGACTTGAATTAATTAAAGGGAAAAAAAAATCTGATAATTAAATTTCCTGCAAATGTAATAAAACAGAATGTATCAGAGTTATGTTTTTTTATTTTTACAAAATGCCTCTTAATTAATCTCTAGTTAGAAATAAACATGTTTCCTATTATGGATATTACAGTTCCTCTGCATCTTTTTCTCTGTTCGCAGGTAAGAACTCAGACTCCCCAAATGCTTTGGAGGACCTGGCCCACTATGAATTTCTGGCCCAGTTGAGGAAGGCCTCTACCTCAGCCAGTCTCTTGGACCACCTGAACCACAATGGCACGGCAGCGGTGTACCACCCGGAAGGCAGGCACGAGGAGCTGCCACCTGCCATCTGGTCACCAGGCGCTCAGCACCGCTCACCCGAGGGAGCAGGTAGGCCGATGAGAGAACAGCTGCAATGATGCTTAATAGAAAATCAACAAATCTGAAGTTACTGCTTTTGAGCCAGGCAGTATGTTGTTAGAGCGACGAGCCGCTCAGCTGCAATAGCAGTGATGCACTACATATCAGATTGTATATGCTGATGTTATTCAGAGAAAATGGAAAGGAACGCGCTTTTAACACATCGGCTCATCAGCCGCTCGTAGTTTAACAAAGAGCCTTCGAAACATTTTACACATCCGTGTTCCAGCAATTCATGCACGTAACAGCGTGTGTTGTCCCACAATGTACACATTTTACATCACATATACCAAGTAAATATCAAAGGTTATCTCATAATTTAAAGTAAAATATCATATTAAAAGCATATACAATACCTTTAGTACTTTTAAATAGTAAACAAGGATAATTTAATATCTTGTTCAATAAGCGATTTACAAAATACATGAATGAACAACGTATAATACATAATATTTTCTGTGGTCTTTTAAAAAAAAATGTCACATCTCTCTCTGGACTCTAGATGCAGGGAGGACCCAGCAGGCCTGTCCATTCTGCCACAGGATGTATCAGCGAGGAGCCTCCTTGAGGGACCACATCAAGTACTGTCAGGAGAGGGAGGGGGGCCACATGGTGTGCCCACTCTGTGGATACACTGCCACTGTTCGGGCACAGATGGAGCGGCACCTGGCTTTTCATAACCAAGTGCAGGACAAGGTGAGATACAAACAGACAGCAAGAGAAACATCACCGACATGAGCCAAATCGTCATTCTGTGACATCTAATGTTACAAAGTTATTTATTTGGAACTGTGTTGATACAAGTGACAATCAGACACAGACATTCATCCTTAAATGTGTTGTATTATAAAACTAATACCATTGTCTTAGGGTGTCATCACTTTGGATCAAGGCATTGAGACCAGGAAGTTCAAATGTCTGCAGTGTGGGAAAGCATTCAAGTACAAACACCACCTCAAAGAGCATCTCCGCATCCACAGCGGTGAGACAAAATAACAGATAACAGATGTACTCACCCATCAATTTGCTATTGTTTCCACGGTATCACTAACCCTTACTTATCGTGCTAGTTATATGGTACGAAATTATACTTCATTTGATGTGTTGACAAGGAACAATAATTATGACAAGACAAGATAATTATGAAAAATGTTGAAGGTATTTTCAACACACTTTTTGGGATCTTTTGTCTAATATATCCCGCCTGCGTGTCATCTTTTAGGTGAGAAACCTTACGAGTGCTCCAACTGCAAGAAACGTTTCTCTCACTCTGGCTCCTACAGCTCCCACTTGAGCAGCAAAAAGTGCCTGAGTGGTGGAGGAAATGGAGGGGAGCGCGCAGGAGGAGCCAGCGGTGCATTTAACGGGCATAGCCAAAGCTCCTACCACCACTCATTTCCAACATCTCCCTCTCCAGGTGTGGGGAGGAACAGTACTGACAAGGGCTCCCCGTTGGCTTCACAGACCCAAGATCAAACCGGGCTTCTATGTCGAGTCCGAGAGGATCCTCACCAGCTTTCCCTGCAGGACCACAACAGCGCCAGAGCATCAGACCTGGCTCGGCTTTGGGACCCCTCAGCAGAGCTCTCTCTGAGGTCCAGTATACTAAAAGGGACCACCCTTCTGCCTTATCTGCACTCTGGGACCAAGTTTGAACAGATGCTGCAGGAGATGCTTCACAGGGAGGTGAGGAAAGAGGAGGAAATGGTCAGAGGAGGAGGAGCTGCAATGGAGGAAAGGAAGGGGATTTACAATGGAGGAGGGCCTGACAGGAATGTGTCACCTGACAGGAGAAGAGGAAGAGTGAGGTCAGGTGAAGGGGAGAGAGGTGTGCTTGGGATGACGTGTCGTTGGTGCTTCCAGATCTTCCCCAGTGTGCCGGTGCTCCTGCAGCACGAGCGCTACCTCTGCAAGATGAACCGAGAGGCAGTGGAGGTGCCCGAGGGTCTCCGCAGCAAAGACCACCCCTCGCCACCTTTAGTCTTCCCCAGATCTGCTCTCCAACCGGAGAACGGCAAACCGAGTGAAGTGTCCAACGGCCTGTCTGGAAACAAATCACCATTGCAGAAGCCCAGCTGGCACTCTTTACCGCAGCAGCTTTTGGTGGCAATGTACTCTCCCCCACAGCCCCACCATGACGCCCCCTCCTCTCAAGCGTACTGCTCCAGCCAGGAAAAGGGAAGCCCAAGCCAACCAATCAACCACTCCCCAGAGCTGTCATCGCCTCGGGTCAGAAGGAGGTTTCCCTCTTCAGGTTTCGGTTCTCCAGTCTGCCTGGACCTCACCAGCTGTCCTCCCGAACTGATCTCCCCTCAGAACCAGACCAGCAGCCCCTGGTCTGCACAGAACGAGCCTCTGGACCTCTCCCTACCCAAGCAGCTCTCAGACCAGGAGGGGAGAAACAAAACTGTAAACGGCAACTCAGGCAGACGAGAGAGGAGGGAGCACGGGACCCAGCAACTCAGGAGACCGAGTCCGACGTCACACCTCCACCTTCACCACCATCCAGTCTACAGCGGGGCCAGAGCTCCTATGTTTCCAGGTTCCTTATATAATGGATTTCCTATCTTCAACCAGTCTGGTTTAGGGCTTTCAGGACATGATGGCATCACAGCGATGGCATCACAGCCAGGGTTTCTCTCTCCTATGGCTTACATGATGGATGCAGACACAGAGGCGACCCTGAAAAAGATCCACCAGGAGAGACAAGCTCTCATGGTGAGTAAGGTCTCTCTTTTAGGTTTGTTCAAAAGAATTATGTGTATTTGCAGAAGAACAACCGTAAAATGACTGCGGAAGCAGCAACAAAAAATACATTCAAATATCTGATCATATTGTAAAGCGTTGCTGCAAGAATTTGTAGAATTAGATGAATATGAATCGAAATATATCATGATTTTCTTGTTTTCTCTGCAGGGTGAAGTGTTAAGCCATGGAGCTCTAGACTACCTCTCCCTCATGGAAGAAGGACTGGAGGGAGAAGGGGGACCCGGGAGGAAAAGACTGAAGAAGACAGACGAGGGGCTTTACGCTTGTGACATTTGTGACAAAACGTTTCAGAAGAGCAGCTCTCTGCTCCGACACAAATACGAGCACACAGGTCTGCAAGATTTGTACAAACACACAGAAGTTATATGCCATTTCCTATAATTTACAGATAACTACAATATTTGTTAAAAATGTTTAACGGAATAATTTTGGAAAACATGCTTATTTGATTTCTTACTGAGAGATGCTGGTAGACAGATCTTCTTTGAATAAAGCCAGGCTGGCTGTTTCCCCATGATCCCATTATTTGTGCTAAGCTAACCGGCTGCCAAATGGTTGTGATAATGTCGTCTCTATATAAAAAAATATATAAGATTTATTTTTTAAAGAAAATATTATACACAATTTCTCTGCATTTATTACAGGTAAGCGTCCTCATGAGTGCAAGATCTGCAACAAGGCCTTCAAGCATAAGCACCATCTGATTGAGCACAGCCGGCTGCACTCTGGAGAGAAACCCTACCAATGTGACAAGTGTGGCAAACGCTTCTCTCACTCCGGCTCATACTCACAGCACATGAACCACCGCTATGCCTACTGCAGCAAAGACCAGGATCCAGACCAAGATCACGAGGAAATGCCTTTCACCCCAGGGGCAGGCAGAAATACCGGGGGACGCCTCGCCGACGAGACCCCCCTGTCCATGGAGGACACTCAGACGGCGCACTCCTTCCTCAGCGATTCCAGTCTAGACGGAGCTGCAGAGGCCCTCAAGGAGGAAGAAGAGGAGGAGGAGGAGGAGGATAAAGATGCAGGTGTTAGTGATGGTCATGTGGAAAAGGCACTAGTGGGTTTGTTAGGGGCAGCAGAGGAGCTGGGAGGTAGCCCCTTCCTTGGATCACCTACAGCGGAGAAGGGAGTGCAAAGCGAGAGAAATGGTTACGATGTGGGAAACCACATTGTCAAAGCAGAGAGAGAATTCTGGGACAGAGACACCGATGGCCAGAATGGAGACTTGGACAAATGTGAACTTAGCCTGGATTTAACAGATTTATCCAGAATAAAAACTTAAGGTGACTACAACAAGCCAATACAATGCATATACCATATATATATATTATATTAAGAATATTGATACACTTTTTATTTCATGTACATATATATATATATATAAAACTGATTTAAAAAAAAATAAAAAAGTTACATGAGAAAATGCACAGAACTTCCAAAGCATAGATGGCCTTAAATTGGATAAAGCCATACAAACAAAAATATATGTGGCAATACGAATTATAGTATTTTATCATGTAAAATAGACTTAACGTACCTACAGCGCCTTTCTTTTGTCTTTGTTGTGTTGTAATTTCTTTTTGCTAAAACACATTTGGGTTGACTCATCCGAGGTCATGTATCTAGATGTAACGCTGCATGAATCTCACTTTGTATTCGCTTGCTGCTGCTGACTGTTGCACAACCCATAAAGAAGAGGCCTTTGTATTTTTATGGCCAGGATCCAGTTTGCTTTGTTTAAAACATTTTGACCGTTCACATGTAGATGCACACCAGTGTGCGACTTAAGAAACCAGACGGCACAGGAAAGGATCGATTGCAGTAGTGGAAAGACATCTACTGTTACTTTAGCATGCTATTAAAGTTAGCGCTTAGATGTTACAGATACAGTCATATCAATCAGATCCGCTTGATGCTCAGTTAGAATATTTATTCTGGCAAGTGCAAGTACCATTCAATATCCTGTGGTATTATTTCATACAAACCCATACCTCTATTTTAAGAAATGAGCAATAACTTGTAACATGTTTTACACGGAAATACACACATGCAGCTATTACTTTGTCCCAAAGCTATTGATGGCTTGAGATTATATGGAAGTACTCCTTTTTATCATTCATGCTGTGAAATAACAAGGTACAACCACCTCATCTCTGCAACGATGGTGCTCAGTGGCTTTTGACTAACCAGCAGCCTATCTTCGTAGTTTAGAGCAAGCAGTAAAAAGAGGAAGAACTGGAAGGTGGTTGTTTATTTATTTTTTTAAGCAAAAAGCAGTGGACTGCACCTTTTAAATGGTATTCTTTGCCAAGGGACAGTCATTCCTGTCAGTTTTGGGGGTTTTTCCTTCGAGGGGAGCAAACAAAACTTGCGCTGTCTCACTGTTTGTGTAATAATCACACAGAGCTGCTTCATTTAATCTTACGCGGAAATATCCCCCATTTCTCGTAATAATTTACATGCGCCATTTTCTCACCCCCGGAAACACATTTAGGGCTGTCTGTTAAGGTGTGGCGAGAAGGTCAAGACTCAGGACGCATACATCAACTTCCTCTTTCTGACTGCAGTGTAGTCAACGTGAGAAGTGCCTGAGATGTACTCAAGACACTGTGAGTAATCCGACAAAGCCTCGGTACGACGAGATAAGACGGTGGTGCATGAGGTGTGACTAAGCTTCTAGCATTCATGCATACTGTGACAACTTTTGGTCATAATGTATGTGTGTGTGTGCGTGTGTATGTGTATTTATCACCAAAGATATGCAAATGTGACATGCCAACTGCCACCTTTCTCGTGCGTAGTTCCTTACCTGTTATTTCTGGGTCAAAAAAATACTGAAGAAATGGTTTACTTTCCCTCAGCGTCAGCACACTTCTCTTTATAACGTTACAAGCAGTGTTCTTTTTATATATCTTTTACTGGCACCCATGCAACTTTTGTATTCACTTTTTATATGTTTTATAATGAATATAATAAAATTGTACATACTTTGTCACAAGAATGTTGTACATCATACATTTTTTTCTTTTAAAATATTATCCTCAATCAGCATTTTCTTGTGTTTTAATTAAAAAACCTCTTGCTGTAGCTTTATGAGACGGAAGATTTAAGTGTAATCATTTCAAGACAATTTTCATTCAGTGGCTATGAAATTGGTTAAAGTATTAAGGTATTTAAGAAGAGGGCAATGAAATTATCTTTCTAAACACAAAAACATCTTTAAGCGAAAGACAGTTCTGAAGCTCGGCGGAGGCCTGCAGGTGACTCAGTTTCCCATCACAGTGAAACATTTCCATCACCACTCGTGAGCTGCAGACTGCTTTGTTTCACAAACTTTTTTTTTTGTGGCTTTTTGTGTCATCAGATGTGCTGCTTGGTGCCTGTCAACCTGTGTATGTGGCTGAGGCACGCAGGGGCTGAGCAGCTCTGCTGGTATTTGATACACCAAGCTTTAGGTTAATGGCTGGTTGAGTAAACAATCGGCTAACTGTAACATTAACAAACCATAACGGGTGACTTAGGTCAGATACTTTTGGGTGCCATGCATTAGCAGCATTGAGTCACCTGTAGCACAAACTATTGGTGATGTTTTGACCTTTTTCTGATCGCGAACGTGAGTAAGATGACATTTAATGAAGAACTTTTTGTCCCATATTTGTGGTTGGCAAAAATCGACACAGTCAAGACAGCAGCATCAGCATCACTTGCAAGAAGTCCCATCTATGAGCAACAGGTTATTAGCTGCTGAGCATTTCAAAGTTTTGATTCCCCACACCATCGAGCTCGGCTCTATTCCTGTTTCTTAGGTTCATTTTGTTTTCTGTTGGTTCCTTTCACTCAAGCAGGCATGAGTGTGAAGACTGAAAACAGCTACACATGTCACTGGTGGGCAGAGAAACTGTTTTTCAGTTTTCTGTGAGACTGCAGAAGTGTCTCTTTCTTAAATCATTTGTAAACAACGTAAAAGAAGATAAAAGCCATGATATATAGTAACAAGAAGGCCCATTGTTTGCCATGTGCCATCACGGCTGTATTTCTTACTGCAAGAATAAAACATACAGATTCATTAACATACAGCTGCCCAAGGAAATTACAATAAAGTGCACTTTCTAAAGTAGTTTGGAATATGAAATGTAAATCAGTCCTGAGAGTTACTTGGATGGAAAACATGTAACAGATGAACACATTTCACAATTCTCTTACTTCTACGATCTTTTTTATAAATACCTACACATACTCAAAAAAAGGTTTTGTTTTAGTGTTGCAGCAAAAAAGTAACTGACTACAGATGCAATGAAAGGTCTGGCTTTTTTATGTTCGTATTTTTTCGCATTGCATTTAATCGGTCCACGTATGCCTGCACATTTAACTGTATTACTTATCGTACAGAATTTAGATTTTGCACTGTTCTGGATTTAATAAGGAATAATCAGACATCACATGTGATTAATGAGTCAAAGAAGAAAGACAGAAAGAAAAGAGGAAAGCATTAAAAGACAAAGTAATGGAGTTTGACTTTCCCTGCCAACACACTGCTGATTAGAAGGGAGTGGTGTTTGAGTGTGTCCCTGACGGACTGATTCTATTTTAGGGAGTGATTAGCGCCCTCGCACCAAGCGAAATAAAACACATCACAGAGCTCGAGGCTACAGCTGCTTAATGCCACCGAGTCTTTAGTGAAAGAGAAATCCCGTCAATTTCAGGATTTGGAGAGAGAACAAAAGATACGGTAAAAATAATTTATTTATTAATATTTTGAGGGTGTTATATTTTCTTTACGTATAATACAATAAATGAAAACATTAAATCTTATGTGAGGCGGCTCTGGGACACTCCAGAAAAAAAAACCATTGAAACTGCAGTACTGAATGAGGGATAGATGTATAAACTGTGATGACTACGTTCATACAAGCATTTGGATCAAATAAACAAATGCGGTTGTTGTTGAAGTAGAAAAAAATAATCTGTGGCAATCAAATATAAGGATGACATTGGACACACAATGATCAAAAGGTCAGACGACTCCCCATCAATCGGCGACACATCGTTTTAGCCCCTCCTCAGTCACTCACATGACCTGAAATAATACGAACATAAAAATGAATAAATACATCGAATAAAACTTCTCCCCCCTTTGTCCCTCTTTTCTGCTCTTTTTTGTCTTTTGCCAAACCCACAGTCAATATAAAATTACCAAAGCCACAGAGCAAGAGGGTTTTAGGGAAAATCCACATTTTTAAAACATATGCATTTCCAGTTCCTCTTTTGTTCTGTTATTAAAAGCAGCATTTGCACCAATCACAGGCGATGCCTCCGCCCACTGCGCCTCAGGGGCCCACATACCTCCACACACTTCTACTATCTCTCACGCAAAACCCATCGCTCGGTGCAAACAACCAGACAGACACATCCTGACCAAATGTCACAACAATCAGTTTCTTACATTTTTCTTTTATTGCAGGAAGAGTTGACAATCGGGTCCAAGCAATATCTTTCACGACACACTGTTCATTTAATAGCAAACGTATCAGTTTGAATTTGGCCAATATATAATGTTCAGGTTACACACTGTATGCAAAGTGCTAGTTGACAAGGACAGTAATTCACATATTTACAATTTCATTTTTTTTTAACTTAATCTGAGGAGTTTGAACTAATAAAAATAGAAGACAGATCCAGATTTGTACAATAAGGGAAACTTCAAAGGTCCACACTCACTACATCGTACTGTTTGGTACAAAGGAACATTTGCTGCCCTGTTGGCACTGAAATCATGCTTTTTATCTTTACATACATGTACAAACTCTTCATCGAAACACTGTATAGTTTCAGCAGCGATGTGGTCACATTTACACGCCCAGCTTGCTTCCTGCTTGTTTGCATATTTGACAGTATCCTCTGCAGGTGGGATCTGTCCAGTCTTTCTGCAGGAGGTGCCGGTGCACGTGTTTTCACAGTGAGACGGTTCTGCCGAGTTTTGTTTCAGTGTCACGTTAAGACACATCCTTCCTCAAATATCTGATTAATACTCAGCTTGCTGGAGGAGATTAATCACTTTTATGGCTTTTATTTATCCTGATCGAGTCTGAAACATCAAGGAAGAGTGACATGGAGGCGTCTGCTCCAGCAGTTAAGAACACCGGGGCTGCACTCCACATCTGCAGTAAAAAACACAAGTATTGCAGCTAAAATTGGTTTATTTTACTATTATTGTTCTAACATGGCTTTATATGGAGGCCAGATGCCATGATTAGCAGCTTTCTGTCCTGGTTCTTTTTACCCCGTAATTATCTTTTGATGTGGAACCCATTTTACACCACATGAGTCAACAGGCAAAGAGGACAAACGCTGCACTACTTGTGCTTTTGTCGGATGTGGAGGAGTTTTTTGAATCCCCCCCAACCTCCCCTCCTCTGTCCGAAAGAGATCAAGAGGGGCCTCTTGTTCCAAAGATGTGGTCAAACTCGCTGAGGATGAGTTCCACCGCTTGGTTCTGGTAAACCATATTCACCGCCATGTTGCCGTTGTCCCGCTCTGGACGCATCAGGGTCGGCCCGAACACAATGCCGATGTTCTGGGTGGTCATTCGGTTGATGCCTGAATGCTCCAACACTCTGTAGAGAGATCAGACACAGAGAGTAAGAGACAGGTTTATCATCTAAAATATCTACAAGAAATTAAAAGAACCAAAGTGGCTCTGGATCACACACTCTGAATTGTTGCAGCTTGTGGAATTGAATTTCCAGTCGTGTTAGCAGGATGGTTCGAGGGATGACGGTGTCAGGCAGTCGGCTGCTTTGGGCCCAGATAGAAATATCTCAGCAAATGTTGCATTGCTTGGCTAAAGTCTTTGCACAAACTTTAATGATCTTCAGATGATGTATTCTAAGTACTTTTTTTTTTGTTGAAGTCCCCTAACGTTTCCTCAAGCCCCGCCACCATGAGGTTGACATTTGTGGTTTTTGAGTGAAATGTCTCAACAACTATTGGATGGATTGCCATGAAATTTGGTACACACATCCAGATCACCCTAAGGATGCATTTTAATAACTTGTAATAACAAATGTTAGCATTCTGATGTGTTAAACTACGATTTGAATGTGGTAAACATTAAACCTGCGCAACATTGTCATTGTGAGCATGTTAGCATGCAGAGGTTAGCATTTCGTACAAAGCACCAGTCACAGAGAAGCTAGTGTGGCTGTAGACTTATTCTTGTTTCAATCTTTGGGACTGCAGGCACAGAGATGACTGCTAACTGTCCATTCAGCTTCATGCTTGCCGTCAGCATGTCGCATCTTTATACTTCTTACAAACTCAGGACAACAGCTAAAAGAATAAGCGTCCACCAGTGAGATCTTTTCTTTGCGTGTATGTTCGTGTCCATGTATCTGCATTATATAATCTAAATTTGTCCACATAAGAGTCTAAATCCACCGCCTGTATCCACCTATGTTGGTGTGTTTAAGTGTGTGTGTGTGTGTGAGAGAGAGATTGGGGGGGACGCAGGAATGGGTTTAAGCCACAGCATGAGGCATTCTTTCTAAAAATGCCATTCCCACCAAGCCACAAAAGCAGCCAGCAATTGCTCAAAACTTCCACATTAAAAAGAGAGGAGGAAGAGAGAGAGAGAGGGAGAGGGAAGAGAGAAAAGAGAGAGGTTCCAGTGGTGGCGGCGGTGGTGTTGGTATGCCTTCCAGCAGACGAACCACAAGGCTCCCATGGGACCTTCGAGGCAAGGAGGAGAGCGTGGGGGGACGGCGGAGGAAGGAGGAGGAGGGAGAAAAAAGGAGGAAGGGATGGAAAGAGGAGGAAGACGGGAGGAAGAGGAAAGGGAGACTACAAAAGAAGAGAAGGAAGAGAATGAAGAGGAAGTAAAAGAAATGAAGAGGAGGCGACAGGGTTGATTGAGCAGAGAGATAATAAATGAGAAACAGAGAGGGGGGGGGGGGAATGACAGCGGGGAGAAAATGAGAGAAAGACACAGAGTTGACATATTCATGGGGCCCACCACACCCTGGCACAAACAGCGGCCTCAGAACACGAACGCTCACCCCCGAGTGGAAGGGAAAACCATAGGCGGTAAAAAACACACATTTTATGTACTGTAAAAGGAACTGGCTCACAGAACATGGTACACCATTCATCTTCCTCCAGCCTTTTCATCTTCACAGGGACCCAAACTTAACAACAGTGTGATCCTGGTACAGCACTGGCATACTTTGAGAGCTGTGGCCAAAGAATCTCTGACAGAGAAATGACTGAGAACGACAAGGAAACTACCCCCTCTTGTGGTCAAGATTTACAAAGAAAAGTAATGAGGAGGAGATTTGTTTTCCTACAAGGGGCATCTGGTTCATTCCTTTGTATCGAAATATCATAGAGGGAATATTCTGCATTATGGATTGTGCCAGTTTCAGGGCAGAGAGACGGCGGAGACACAGACAAATGCATGCGGTTTTATTGCCGCCCTCTCACCGTTTGAGATGACAACACATGAACTGCAGCGTGTCATGGTTCGGAGGAGGCATGCTGAGCACCAGACACTTCAAACGATCCACTTTGTCCATGTAGTCGGACATCTCTGCAACACAGAGCAAGAGACGTGTCAGATCACAATAGATTTCATCATTTGCATTCCACTTCCTGAACATAATTGGCATCGCAAACCTGATTTACATCCGGTGACTGATATCACATGTACGCCATTAGCATCCACTATCTAATCTGGTAAAGCAACATGCAATTATCAACAATCACCGCCGTGGTTTGATGTGAAACTGTGAACTGTGCAACAAAAAAAAAAATCCCATGTAAAATATAAGATAAGGATAAGAAACAGGGTGTTCAAACCAAGAATGCATTTACATTTGTTATCATGTATTCCTAATATGCAACTTTTCTTATGGAAGCCAGATTATCTACAGTTTTAGGATAAGTAAAAGATAAAACGATACATTGCTGTATCACAAAGGGTCATGCAAAATAATTGATGAAGAACGCAGTTAAAAGGAAAAATTTGGTGCTTTTTTTGTTGTTTTTTTTACAGTCAAATCCCATGAAAAAATTTAAACAATGATCAATCAGTGAATTAATTATATTAACACGCGTTGTATGTAAACCTGATTTGGTTTATTCTTAAATAGAATAGACCAACATTGTTGTTCAAAACTATTAAAAACATCATTGAGCTGTACTGGATGACATGCTCCTTTATTATGATGCCATAAATAGTCACCAGAGCATCAAATGTGTATTGAAAATAGTCCCCACACTTGTCTCTCTTAGAGTATCCTCTGCTTAAACCTACTTTCTCCGCTGTTTTAAGATTCATTTGGCCTTTAAAAAAAACTGTGGCCTGTCGATAAAGGTAAAGTCTTGATGGACCGCCACCAACTAGAGATGAACGAACACTTCGTTGGTTTTAGTCATTTCATGGCATTTTTTGACAAGAGGAAAATATAGAACAACACGTATGATTGGAGGATTATGGGAGAGGCGTGAAAAAAATGCAGCTAACGTGAGGATTTATACAGCGAGGATCACTTCATTTAAATTCAATACTGCTCAATAAATTTCAGTTTTGTCAGTATGTAATTATTCTTCTCTTGTGTCTGAACTCGAGCAATTTTCTTTTTGACAAGCACCATTTTATTTTACTGTGTCCATATATCGTCCATGATATACGTGGCGTTGTGAAACATTTTCTAGAGGTGGAAAAGTGCTGTAAACACAGTATATTCTGTAATCACGAAAATGACTTTCACCACAGTTTGAGAAAGTGTGAACGAGCTCAAGTAAAGAGGGGAGTGAACTCTCTAACCCAAACTGTGCTGGTTCTGACTCACAAAAACCACATCAGTGTTGCGAGTATTCAAAATAAAAACACATCAGAGGAAAAAATAATAAGGTGAGATTTTAAAGTATCATATGCGGGCGTCCTTGTGGCCCAGAGGTTTAAAGGATGGCGATCGTGTAATTATAACATTCCCGCTTTGAGTCTGGCCTGGGACTTTCCTGCATTCTCTCTCTTTCCTGTCATTTCCTGTCCGCTGTCTACAACACAGAATCAAATAAAAGGCCCGATACAGAATGTTATTTTGAATTCATACAAACTTTGTAAACAGATAACCAAAAGGAGTGTTGTCATTTCTACCTTAGGTGACTTGTCATTCTGTATGCAGTGACGCTCCACGTGTAGGGGGAAGGTATATTCAGTAAATATAAGCTGAAGATATAGGCTGAAGATGGTCACTCACTGACTGTCTCCACGATGTCGGTGAAGAAGCCGAAGGGCACGAGGGGCTCAGGAAGTTCGCGAAAGAAAAGTTTCAAAGCTCCCGTGATGACATGAATGTCCTCCCATTCACTCTGGTCCAAATTCAGCTTCTCCTCTGAGAGACATAAAGGGAGGAGGAGGAGAAAGAGGAGAAGACAGACAGGGTTAGAGGAAGCAAACGGAAGGCCAGGCAATGTGGAAAAGAGAGACAAAGAAGTAGAGTTACAGTCACAGTATTGTTCAGCGAACAACATCAACAGAGCAGAGTTTAAATTCATGTCAGTGCTGAGGCGTAAAATGAAGGCTTGTAGCTGCAAGAGGGAGATAGAAATGGTCTGTGAAAGTCAGAGAAGACACAAAAGCACAAACACACGTAAAGCACACATTTTCTTTAAGTCCAGGCCTGACCAATGCTTCTCAAATTGCATGATAAGAACCAAAGGGAAGAAAATAAAGAGCTTTAATTTGACCTCAGTGTCAAGAAGTTCAACATCTATGATACAAACAAGTATCTAAGGATGAGAAACATTAGTCAGTGAGATTAAAACACTACACAAACTGCAGCTGATCCTCCGTTTTGTCCACTTGGTGGCAGTCATGCACCGTGTGAGACGCCGCTGTACAACCTGCTGCGCGTTATTACATCAGAAAACTTAAAGCAGGAAAGCCTAAGGGACACACATACATTAAGCAAATGGTAGCACAACCAGCAAACTTCGGTGCACACCTCAGCTCTGCGTGTCAGTCTGTGTGTGGGGAGTTTTTTTGACATTGTTAAACACATATGGCACAAAAACATGCAGGCTGAGTAACACGGGAAAGCGTTTTGTCCTCGTCAGTCTGAATCTACCTTGTACAAACTCCGCCGGGAACATGTAACGTCCGTCTGTCGTCACCGCTCGCTCTGCAAAAACCAACAGTTACTCAGCGGGCTTTCCTCGGCGTCCACTTTATAGAAAGGAAGTCATGTAGTGGGAGTGAGGCGATCAGGTTTCAAGCAGGTGTACAGTGAGTGTGTGTTGGGGTTACACAATGGCATAATCAGAATGAACAAAACAGCACCAGATGGCATTTATCTTGATTTTATGCAGCTGAAAAAAAAAGGAATGGGCTACCACTTCTCTCCTCCCCCAACATTTCCCCCTCATTAATAAATTAATCAGCATTAATCATCTATATAGATCAGCTTTTCCCCTCCTCCCCTTCATCCTCACCATGGTCCACCAGGAAGCGCAGTTTCTGAATCACTGCCAGGTTCCCTGACACTCTGTAGAGGCCGTCAGTGTCCAGTCCTGCAACACACCGCACAGAGCTGGGTCAGATCCCTAGTGCATCTGAGCATCTATTAACACTTTAGAAGAAAAACTAAAAAAACTAAACTAACATTTATTCCATTATTTAAGTGTAACTTCATGAGAGTAAAGTCTAAAGATAAGTTCCTCAGATTTAAGGCAGTCAGAGCTGATATAATTGTTTTACTTTTCTGCACATAAATAATTTAGTGTGGCTGGGAAGTTTGTTTTGTTGCGTAAGTGCCCAAAAGCGTGTGAATAAAGTCAAGCAAAAGCACATTTTGGCACATTTAGACATCTAAAAAAAAGTTTTAAAAAGTAATGTTTTGCATGATCACATGACCCCCCCTACTTCCTCACAACATTTCACAGCGTGATGTTTGATGAAGTGCTTTCAAAGTTCTGGTGTCACATTGAGTTTCTGCTTTCTCCTCACTGAACAACTCAGGCCCATTGGCTATTAACATCTTCGTATGACGATGATCTATATTTCTTCTTTCAACAACAAATCCCATGAAGAGATCAACACCGTGGTCAAGTCAGAACAAGTCAGGCTTTTGTGATATATTTGATTATTAATATCCACAGCTTCACAGGAGCCACCGACTGAGATGTAACGTCTCATGTTACTGCTATAAAACATACATCATTCATCCAGCCACATCTGACCCGGCATTGCTCATTCATTGGTCAAGTGAAGTTCATTTTATCTGCATCGGACGAATTTGTCTGCCAACGTTTTATAATTTAATAAGACCTAAATGATTACTCAATTAATCAAATAGTCCGTCTACAGAAAATAAATCTGCAGCAATTTTAAAATAATGATTATTTCCAAGATAAAAACACAGAAACTTCAGGAAGAGTCAAAATCAACGGTCTTTCTTTCCTACTGCAATCATTATGTATGATATGAGAATCAGGTCCTCTCTTTTTCCGGAAACCACTTTGTCCTAAAAGTTTTTTCAGTCAGTCAACGCCTTGAATGTAAATGTCTCAATCTGAAACAATAAGACAAGCCCCTTGTGGTCAAAACATTGATTTTTGTTTTTTGTGAGGATTAAATATTTATTTGCAGCATTTTTTCTAAACAGTTTCCAAACAACTCCATTTTCTCTCATTTAGATCTTCTCTCCGGCTGGCAGCTGTCACGACTTCCTCTCTGTGCGTTTTTAGTTGCCTCTCTGTCAGCCAATCAAATACATTTTTCAGTAAATGTTTGTCAAGTGATTTATGTCCCGGAGCTGAGCGGTAGGTGCACACGACTGCTGTCAAGTGACTGACGCTCAAAAACAGGATTGAGGAGTGTTTCCTCATGTGTCCCCTTTAAGTTGAGAATCCCACTAACAGGAGCCGGATGTGTGTTTGCAGTGTTCGTACCTCTCCTCTCCACAGCCTCAGTGCAAAGTTTGACGAAGCGAGGGACGGTGCTCTTCTCTCTCTCACAGAGCATCTCCAGGCGACAGCCAAACACCTGATCTGAAGGGTGATGGTGGACGGACACAAACACAGACACAGACTCACTTTACATGTCTGTTCATTAGGTTTTTTCTGTGTCAAGACATGATGTAATAGCTACAAGCTCAAGTTGATCTAGAGATACATTTACTGTTCACTATGGAATGAAACCTCCATGTTCCCAGCAGCGATATAAGCTCACCCTCGATGATGCAATGCAACATGTACTGTAATATCCTATAGGGTGGAAAAAAAATCATAGGCAGCCCTTCACTCCAGAGTATGCCAGTATTATAACATGTTATCTCTGTGATGTACTCGCTTGTAAAAATGACATTAAATTAGTCAGTTTAACCAGAACTTGTGGGTAGTAATCTTTTTTATAAATCCACCTCTATTTCCATTCTTCTGAGCGGCTTCTTCAAGTTCTAATAACGTGCAGACAACCGTGTTACGTCTCCTCGTGGATGTGGATGTAGTTGAGGTTACACATTATGTCAAAGCTTTAAGGGAGCTGTAGCTTTTCAGCGCTAACCAAATCATTGTTTTATCATTGTTAAAAAGATGAGGTGCTGGTTGCCTTGGGATCGCTGAACATGCGAATGCAGCATCCCCGGTTTGAGTCTGTGTGTGAACCTTTGCTGCATGAATTGCTTCCTCTGGTTCTGTCACCTCACTACTGCTCGCTATCACATAAATAAAATGAAAAAGATGCCAGAAAAAATACTTCAAAATATATAATAAGAACAAGTGTTATAAGAGAGCTCATGTACCGTATGCTACTCCTGAAGTATTATTTTGCCATTTAGATCAATTATAATATTACTAATTATTTAAAGATGCTGCTTTGTCTAAAAGTCTTTTGGAAGTTGTTGCGGCTGAACGCGAAAGAATAATTATTTTAAGAGTTATTGTTAAAATAGTTGTGAGAATAAGGAACAGCTATTCAAAAAATACTCATTATAGAGGAAGTGTTATAGAAGAAGTTCATGCACAGATCGGTGACAAATGGTGAGGAAAAGGAAAAACCATCAAGTCATCATGGTGTAAACTTTACACCATGATGTAAACCATGAGTTCAGAGAACTCTGCTGAAGGGATGAACAACATCCTTAGAAAAAATATTCCCTCATTTGGTGCTGTCTGACACATCGGACCAACATCTTCCATAGGCGTTCCATGGGGTTGAGATTTGGTGAGTGTGAAGGCCATGATGCCATAATTCTGATATGACTTTCATAATCAAACCATTCAGTGACCACGGAATGGAAGCATCTGCATTCATTGTGTTTCTCCACTAATTTATTCAACTTTTTTCCTTTAGTTTGTTACGTATTTGCTTAGAGTATGAAAAAAAAAGACAAAGGAATGTTTCAGCTTTTAAGAAAGATCAATAAAAGATGTGATGGTTGGTGCGATCGTGGTTAAAGGCACTTATTGCAAGTCGCTTTGGATAAAAGCGTCGGATAAATAAATGTAATGAAATTGAAATGTTACAACAGTAACATACAATAGTGTTGTAATCAGCAGACAAGCAGTGTCAACAACTTTTTTGGAGAAGCGCTTACTAGATAGGTGAAGAGGATTGCGATGCATATTCACTAGGGGATGCGGCATCACTGCAGCATAAATTCTCAGATTTCCTGCCAGCCATCACAGCTGTGATGCAGCTCAGATAAACAGCAAAATATATTCAACTTCACAACAAAAGTCCAGTGCATAGCTTTAGCTGCAGAAGTGCTTAAAGTAATATTAAGGACACTTGCATTCAGTGTAAAACTCCAAAAGGAAATCTCACCTTTAATGAGCCCTTTCTCCTGCAGCGCCTGCAGAGGAGGTCTCTTTAGGATCAGCTTCTTCAGCCGGGTCTTCACTCTCTTCCTCTCCGTGTTCTCCAGGTTGGATGACGAGCGAGGGACTGCAGAGGGAGGAAAGGAGGAGGAGGAGGAGGAGGAAGAAATGGAGGAAGAGGAGGTCAGTGCGGGGCGTTGGGCTGCGGCAGGGCAGGAGAGCAGATGAGATGGGATGGTGGTGAGGATGAAAAGCGGGAGGGCTGGGCGACGGCGGAGGTGAGACAGGACCGACGGGGGGATTATTTGCCATGGGGGCCGCGTGAAAATATAAGTGGGCTGGATGGAGGAGAGGATGGAGGAGAGGATGGAGGGATGCAAGAAGCCTGTGTGGAAGTTTAGAAAAAGAAGAGTGATGATGGAGTGAGAGTAAACTGAGGTGGAGGGCCGGGGCCGATTATATGAGAAGAAAGGAAGTCGGAGTGGAGCGATGAGAGGCGTCACGCGGTTACGACTTACGAGACGTTCTCCTGTCATCCTCGTCTCCGCTGTGTTCCAGCATCTCCACGCTGCCCGCTCGCCTCAGAGAGTACAGGAGGACATTGTCTAACGGGTTTTCGCGGTCCTGGAAAGCAGGCAGAGTGAAATACACTCATTGTGTTAACTACGTCATGTCCAAACATTACACCACATGCTGTTTAAAAGCATCTGTTCAAAGTGGCTCCTGAGAAGTCCAACTGAGAAACAGTTACACGCCAACATTAAAACCCATTAGATAAAAAGAGAGCTGTGTAATTTCCCCAAGAAACCAAGATTATGAATTAATTCAGAACTAATCTGACACTTGATCTTTTTTTAGGCTGAGATTAAGAAGTCTACATCTGATCTAAAGAAAAATGAAGAAACAGAAAAACATAAAGAACCAGACAGGGAGGAGTTACAAGATGTGAGTTTAAGGTTAAGTAAAAGGCAGCGGAGAACATAAACGTTACCACTAGAGAAGTGGTACATTGAAATTACAGCTCTGTGTGTGCGTTGTGAGACTCACAAGCCTGTCGATGACGTTCTGGATGGTGCTGTACCACTCTTTGATGAGAGAGTCCGTCTCTGACTGCAGCAGGAACTCGTTGCCTGTTACAGTCCTCAGCTACAAAACACACATTTGTCATGCGTTAAACTCAATCATTTGACATTGTTTTTTAACATAGATAACATCACTTTAAATGTCATGTGCCACACTTCACTGGAAAATTAATTTTTTCAGCTTCCTCTTCCTCACTGTGCATTGGAGAGCGAACGGGTGAAAGAAGGCTTCCCACTCTCACTTCCCTCACTGATAAGAGCCCTTTGGTTGACACAAATACTATTCTATGTTTTACTACTTGTCTGCAATCACATCCTCCTCACTGTACATCAGCTCACTGCAAAGAGTCTGAACAATTTATGAAGAACATTTTTCGACCAGAATTTCTTCTCTTACCTTGAAGACGTTCTTCTTGCTGGACAGGTCTTTGGCCCAGTGCAGCTGTGCTCCTCTTAAATCCACACTGCTCTCAGGGCGACTGTTTCCTGGTTTCTGTTTTGCCAATAAACAGGTACACACACACACACACACACACACACACACACACACACACACACACACACACACACACACACACACAACAATCATGTATTGTTCTATTAGTTGGCTGAATCAACCTATATATGTTTCTAAAAATGGAGTTTTGGTGTTTTGTGGGCAACCACTTTTTGACCCCTTTAACTGACCTCTTACATTATGGCCAACTTTCACACACAACATCTGCAATAAGTTTGAGTCACCTGTTGAGTCAAACATTGTATAGAAATATCTATATGTTCTGGGTTTGTCAAAAGCTACCGATCGGACCGGAGTCAGCTGGCTTCAAAACTTACTTCACAATGTTTAAAACTAAATTTCACCATGCAGAAAAAAAAAATCCCATCTGCACTTAGAAAATGACAAATTTATGTTTTCGCAAAGATAATACCTGGACTAAAGGCATTAAACACAGAGTTTGTGTTAGCTATTACCCAGCTGGAAGGTGTCTGTGATTTAGGATCTTTGAAGAAAACCAGACTGTTTCCGACCAACACCACCCAGGAGGGACTCCAATTTTTCCTGCAACCCAACAAACAAATGTATACTTGTCAGATGGGATTCATCCCAGCGAATCATACTCGCTATTAATTTATTCAAACACTATATCTACACAAAGAGACGCAATCTAATTCAACTGGTTTTGTCTTTAATGGGAGCAGCCACGAGACACCTCACCTCAGTTTCCGGCCTCCTTCTGCAATCTTTGTCTTGTTCAAGAGGCCGGCTTTCTCCAACTCCTGAGAACACATTAAAAGATTGAAGCATTGAAGCAGTAATATTTATACTGTCACACTAATGCTATCGCTCAGGGTAGGCATGAAAGGCTTGAATAATGAAATGTTAACAGTAAAGTACAGCAGAGGGCTTTTCCTCTGTGTAATACACTGCATCCTGAGCGAACCCATTTAGCTTGAATGTTGCATCATTCAAAAAATAGCGGAGGGGAGCTGCTCTAAAAATCTCCCACTGCGGTATGGCCCTGTTTAAGGTGTAAGAGAGAAGAATTAACACCAACTATGAAGTCATACGTGTTGAGCACAGCATATAAAGACAGTGAGGAACAAACTGAGGAATAGCAAGGGTTTTAAAGATAGAACAGAGAAAGGAAAAAAAGCTCGTGGTATCTAATTTATTTTATCTTGATAAGATATGAGATATGCATTGCTGAGAGTTAGTTTATTTGCTGTGCTCAAAGAATTTAAAAATGACATTTGAAAAAGTATTTTTCCAGATACAATTACTTTAATTAATCCAAAGACCTCGCTGTGGACAGTTCTCTATTATTTTAACTTATTGTTCCCAATTAAATCTTTTACCAGCGATGTCTGTGGATCAAAATGGGTTACTGGGGTGACAACATGACAGCCAAATTCATTAAAATGATGGTTGTATAATTGATTTTTACCCGGGATTCATATAAAAAGGATTTGGAGGTGAGACTCAGGAGAAGAATTCAAAACATTTCAGTTTGAAGTTAAATTTTTTTAATTGTGTTAGTTTAAAAGTTAAGAATGCATGGATGCTAAAAGGCATCTTGTGCAGAAAGCTGTCTATTTCTACACAATATTAAAAATCGAATCAATGGAAGACATTCATTTCAAAGTAAAAGTAAAAGGCAGTGTTTTCTCACCGGTGTGCAACCATCGCTGTCTGGAGAGCTCTCAGGAGACGGAGGCTCCACGACAATGTTGGTCACATTACAGGAGTAATCTCTGCACTGCTGGACCAGCTGAAAGACAGTAAGTGGGCGACATCAGTGGCGTTCATTTGTCTGTATGTGTATTTGTGCATATGTACAGTGTTTTGCATGAAAAGTGTAAAAAGTTTATCTGCAATTCCTCTTCCCTCTGCGTGTCTGTGAATACTGTACACACAGTTTGTGGCCCTGTGTGTATGTGCTCTGGAGGTGAGTACCTTGCCGTTCTCAGGCAGGATCATAGATTGAGAGTGGCTGAGCTGCTGCTTGACATCATGCAGGGCGGCAGAGTTATGGTGCTGGGCATCGGCGTGGCTGAACACCATTGTGCTTAGGGTGTCAGAGGAGGCGGCGTGCTGCATGCTCTTTAGGGTTAAAGGTCGGGGTCAATGTTTGGGTGAGTGGTGAACAAGGGAAAGTGCAATCACTATACAGTAAATACAATATACCACCATTGCACTTTAATGTCTGTGGATCCTGTGGTAGCTGATAAGTGTTTGGGTTCTCATGAATAATTCTACTGACACTATTGAAGAACCTTAACTGTATATTTAAGTATTTAGCTGATGCGCTTGCCTAGAGCAACCTTAAATGACTGCAGTAAAATCAGCATGAATTCCTAAACAATTAAATTCACAAATAAGCAACAGAAAGGTCAGGGCCTTTTCAAAAGTTAAGCATGCAGTTACTATCAATTTATTTTGCAGTTACAATCATGCAAACAAGCATGCAAAACATGTAACATTATCAAGGAAGACATGAACTCTTTAGATTTATATTCTGTGAAGTGAAGCACCAGACACCCTGTTTACCTTAATTGTATAACAGTCAACAGTGTAAAGTCAATTCTAACACCACAAGGAGTAATTAGTTCCCATCTGCTGTTTCAATTTCCATCCCATGTTGTACCTAAGATGAGGACCTTTACTCCCCAGTGGGACTTTTTTACTTATTGGTTAATTTTGCTCCAGTGGATGTATTGATGGTAGCTTTGTTGCTCTGACTAACGGACAGCAGTGTCAATGAGCTCGTAAAATAATCAATAAATGTGCCACAGTCAGGGCACTGGATGCCGGCTTGCAAATCATACTTACATGGGTTCTAAGGTCACCTAACCTCACACTGCAATTATGAAATCTTCTGCCACGTCAGACTAAACAATCCCTCGTTGGGAAAGAACAACAACGCAGCTGCATTATTACTTCATTTACATGTATGAACTGCAAATATGAACTGAAGCATTCTGGCACTCTGAGAAAAAACACTGACCGTAAGCATGAGTGCATGTTTTACACTTCCTTGAGAACTTTAAATTGTTTTTGCTTCACTTCACAGGAGGAGCGGGGAGGCAGATGTTTGTGCGTCTCTACTTTACATGCAAAATATGTATGCTTACGATCCCGTGCGTACAGATACTAGTGTGCATGGTTCAACTTAAACTTTTCATGCAGCAGCAGCCATAATTAAGTACCTATCCCAATCCCTGTAACCTACTTTCAACAATCAGACTAAATATCCATCCTAATGTTTGCCTTCTTTTCATGCAAGGAGGATTAGCACTAAGACCCAAATCTTCTCCTTTGCTAAGAGAAGGCCTTTAAAAGGGCTTACGCCAATCGCACCCACACCCCACTGTGATGCAACATGTTGCAGTAAGAACTGCTTGGGTAACAGACTTTCTTTTAACACCATGAGTTGCTATTTCACCACCTTAATATGCATAAATGCTGATTTCTGAGAATCTAAAGAGCATAGCTGGCATTACTTTAATGTATTCTACAGTAATACAGTGGAGATGCAGTTTTTGCAAATGTAACGACTCGGGTTCATTGATTTTCATGAGGAAACTACCCTCCATCAAAAACCCTTTAAGCGCTTATAAAACACTGAGGATTACCCTCCCAGTCAGGAATGCAAAAAGAATAACAAGGAAAGAGTTTTCAGTTTTAGAAGAAAGAAAGAAGAATGGGCAGTCTATGTTATCAGATTGTATACAGACATTCCGGTAAGGCTTCTGGTGCTGGATCTGCAAACTTAACATGTAGCAGGACTTTTTATTACTCCGTGACATAGTCAAGGTGGCAGACTACGCCACCAGAACAGTATGGTGTCCTGCTTTGTTAAGCAAATGCATCCTGTTGTGTAGGACGAATATGTAAAACTATAAGGGCTCTTATCTTTTACTTTACTCTTTGAAGGGTGTTTTTTTTTACAAGGTGAATCTCAAGGTGAATGGCATTAGCCCTCTGGCGATAAAACAGTGCGGCAGGAAAAGACGGGTTTGACCTGTTTCATCTGCCAGCCACTGCCAGTGTTCCTCTGGTGGGACCCGAAGAGGAAATCAGGTGACAGCTAAAGACAAAGACAGAGAGACGGGAAGACAAAGACGGGAAAAATCAGATGATCAGTTGCTATTTATATTTCATTTTAATTTGAAACACAACTCCATTTTCTGTATAATAAATCTAGGAATATTTCACCTTCAGGCTTTCTGGACTTGTAATTATTTGTGCAGCAAAAGATCGCAACACAGGTCAAGTTCACACCTATGTGTAAAAAACAGGATGCTGTTTTCAGTTAAGATAAGTCATGAAGCCCGGGCTAACGATCACACCAACACCGAAACTACACTTCCTGCCAGCTAAAAAAGCTCCTTAATTCGCCACCACAGCACCCACACACACATACACACGTACACACTCTTGCTCGTATTCAACTGCAGTTAATGAGAGGCAGTTGCTGCCGTTGCTCAGTAAGACTGAAACACACACTACATGGTGCTGCTTTGACTCAGGCATGCCGGTATTTAGTTATTGAACTGGATCCCACACGTCCACACACGTGTTGTATGTGGACGTGTAACGTGTTGTGAGAATGTAACGTGTTGTGAGAATGATAAAGTCAGTAGCAACACCGCTGACAGATGAGCAGCCAAATCAGTAAACTATATCAACATTAAAACCACATGAAACATATTCAGCTCCATATTCAAAGCTGGGACATTACATATATGCGCTGCCAGAAACTCCACACCGGTGATGACATGGAATGAAAACAACAACACAATGAAGTAAATACGACTGTGTAAGAAACAAATATGAACTCACGGCATAGGTGCTCATTATCACCGATAAATACAATCCAGTTCAACTCTTGTTTCTGAAAGCTTTTTTCTTGTCGAGTTTGAGTCCTCAGCTGCCTGTCGTTTCATGTCATGACACTTTTTCGTCTGAGTGTCAAAGTGTAAAAACCATTCATCTGTCCCTCTTGTCTCCGCCTGCTTCTACTTCCCCATTCTAGAGGGAAGCTGCTTTTATCAGCCAGCTCAGAATAATTACACCATAACTTTGCTAACATTCACACCTCAACCACTGTCCACACTTCTGTTTGCAAGTTTGGCGTTACTTAAAATTGTCCTTTACTTGTTAAATTTTAGCCTTTATAATCTTACTTAAGCACAAAAGTAATGTGCAAAAAAAAAGACCAAATATAAATGTACTCATGATGAATAACCTCTTACATGGTTAGACTGTTACTGATGCCTGGTATCTGGAAATATTGTGGAGCAGTTCAGCTAATTTGAGAACAATAAAAACAAAACTAAAATGTCCACATATACGTTTTCAGGAGGAAATTAAATGCACATAAATAGGAATACAAATTGGTGTGAGGCTCATCCTATGTATATTTAATGATACAATAACCAATAATATACTACAATTTCCAGGTATGACTCTACAGGACACGCCTCCCACCAACATGAGTCATTGTTAACACCTTGCTGTTTTCGATTGTGTGAAAACTAGTCAGCAAGTGAGAAGAGAAGTTAAAAAGATGACTAAAAGTGATGAATAACAGCAGCAGTACAAATGCAAACTTGATTTATCCTACTGAAAAAAGAGAGCGAGCCAAAAAATCCACATTTCCAGGATCACAATGTATGAAAAAGTATTGTGACAATATCTGCTTTTGTAGTTTTAAAGAATTCTACATTTCAAAAGAGCACATCTAGAACATGATCGTTGATGTTGATGAAGAGGTGTTTGAGCTCAAATGAAAGTTCAACAAAGGAACCTTTGGAGACCAACGGTTTATTCCATCACAATGCATCCTATTCTATGAGTGATGATATGTTGTGTGTAAATTCAGAAAATCCAAAATAAGTAAGTTATTAACTACATATGATTGATTGATTGATTAGTCGTTTGGTCTGAAAACTATTAAAAAAATAACCGTCACTATTTCCAAGAACCAAGGGCGACGTCTTCAAATTTGAACTTGAGTATTCATTAATTGTGGGACAAAATAGTTTTATTGGACTATCACAAATTCAAACAAACAGAGCACTACTTTCACCTCCATGTTGTGCTACATTTCTGCTAATGTACTAATCTGCGTCAAAATATGGCTGGTCCTTATTCACAGTGCATCACCTAGAAGCAAAATAAAATTGTACCTAAACTTTTTACCCAAAATTAAACTCATCAGAGCACTTGCTTCCACTTTCACATTGTGCTGCATTCCTGCTGATGAACACATCTTTGCATCAAAATAAGACTTAAAATAAGGCAGCATGACAGCTCCCCAAACGCAAAGCCTAAACATCTCAGTTGCCCCCTGGTGGCTGGTTGTTAGTTTTAGTTTTTCAATGAGCGGATCACATCTTTCAAATGTCAATATTGGACTTGATCGTGTTCATTTAGTTGTGGGAAGCCAGAATAGTAATGGTGATTAATATACCATCAATTGTGCAGCCCTACTCAACAAATCCTCACATTTGAGAATCTGTAATCAGAGAACAGCTGATGTTTTTCCTCAAACATTAACTTAAATAATCGACGATCAAAATTATTTTTCTGTTGATTGACTAAGAAATGAATCATCTAATTGCTTCAGCTCTACTGTCAACTAAACAGAGTTTGTTGAGGAGTAAAAAGGAAAACATTCCCCTCTTGAAATGTAGCATCCTACAAGCATAAAGTAAAATGGAAATACAGGAACATTAAAGCGCTAGTACACTAACATCTTTAAGCATACCATAGTAGTCAAGCTCACAAAGGAAAAGAATATAAGAAGAATATAAAAATAAAATAAAAATCTAGACTAGAAAGCACTGTGTGCTAAGTAATATGGGTCCCTCAGACTTTGAACACCTGGGTCATTAACTTGTGTGGCATGCAGTATGCATTATATATCATTTGTGGAGTTCCTGTTTAATACATGTACCACTGAATAAAAAGTGACACATGTAGGTCAACAGATAGCATCTCAAAATGACTTGATGGGGGAATCACTGCTTTGATCATGTGGGTATTTTATTGATGAGCAACATTAAATTTGAAACACTGACGCAACATTGAGGCAACGTAACCTTGAGATGCAAAATGCTTATCTCTGACAATCTGGATCATGCGGCTTGTGTTGCTTTACTACGTAGACGCCGTTATTGATTCAGGTCTATTTCAGTCACCAATGGCTGCTGCATAAATTCCCAAAACCCTTACGTCGGAAACAACAGATGTACTTCCTCACTCGTAGAAAAAAATCAAGTTTGCAAAAAAGGGTGAAATGAATGAAACAGCGGAAGTTTGACTATGACAGCCTCTGTGAGGTCAGAGAGGGTTTAACACTGATGAGAAGTTTCAGTGAGTGGTTTAAATTTAGCAATGTTTTTTAATGGTTTGGATTTAAAAGAGTCCCCTGCCTCCCTCTGTGTGGCCCTAATGGCTTCTGCTCATCTGCATCAGATCAAAAGGCATTACCTTGTTATTCCCTTCAGGGATTAGCCCAACAAAAACACAATTTGAGAGGAAGTGTGTGTGTATCAGGGGGCAGTTCATAGATAAATAAATGAGGCAGTGAGTCGGTCAGTAAACGATGGGGCAACTAGAAATATGTAATCCCCTTTTTAATTTGGTCCCTCTCAGCATTTCTCCGTGCTTTAATCTGGAACGTGGTTGAGGTCTGGACAGCGTGTGCACTGTGGGTAACGGATAGACACTAACAATAGATGAATTTGCATGAAACCAGACAGAAGGTGTGTGCTTTTTGTCATCTCACTGTGGTTTTTTCTGTCTTCGTTAACAGTTGCAAAAGCACAGCTGTTTGCACTAAGCAATGTTACATTGGAATGATTATTTAATACTATCAATAATCTTTTGCATGAGAGCACAGTGCAATAAGTTAAGAATTTAAAAGCCTACTGACAGTTTTGAAGAACCAAAAAAACTAAACCAACCAGTTAGATTCACTGACTTTGCACACAATCATAGACTGTATATAAAAGGTGGACTTGGTCATGTGACGTCATGCAATGGTTTGTGGACTGCCATTTTAAAGCCTTGAGCGCGGCATTTTGGCTGTCTCCATTTTCTTTTTTTGGAAGCAGAAGTGACACGAGAGGGTGGAGCTCAGTGAAAATGAAAATGTTACAATTAACTTTCATGAACTGAAAAGACACAGTGGAAGGGTTAAAGTTGTAAGACAAAAACACGGACAACTCCCAGACCGGACAATGCCGTAGTAGCAACCTGTCAATCACAAGGTAGCCACGCCACAAATCATACCCTGCTTTATCATCTATTTGACTCTAATTGGGACCATAATTGACTAAATGAACATCATGCTTTATTGAGGAAGACTTGAAACTAGCGATTGAGACCATGAACTCATGTTGACAATGTTTACTGAGGTAATAAATCAAGTGGGTCATTGGCTAATTTTCTCAAATTCTAACCTCCTCATAACTTCCTTGTAACAAAGGTTCATTGAATAAAAGCTAAAGTGCAATGCCTTATGTGTGGTTGGGTTTTAAAATACATGATTTAGCAAATGAATGAATGAATAAAGAATAAAAGATGAAGATATCATATTCAGTGGGATACCCTTCCTAGAACCCAACTTTATTCAAAAAGCAATTCAAAAACAACACAGGTGATTTAAAATGCTCAACAGCTCAGAGGTAAAGCACAAGAATATAAATATACTTCAAAGGTCAAGAAGATGCTTTTCTTGGGTGTGTACTTGTTGCTTTCTGTGGTACGGTACAGGTGAGAGTGGAGAAAACAACAACAGCTAAGTCTTGTGTCATTGTTGTGTAAGTGGGATGTCCTGTTATTCATTTTGTCACTACAGTTACAGCAAACCTCATCCTCATCTCCTCACCCCTAAAAATGTACCATAATTACTGGCGTGGAAGATGTTGGAATTACCATTGTAGATGATGTAATTCATAATCTAGTTGTTAAATCACATAAAATGATGGTGAATTTGCCCACTTCTTTAAAAGTGCAGCAGCCTTACCCTGTTCATTGTTCCATTGCCTGCTTCAGGAAGTGGTAGCAACAGATGGCTGGTTTCTCTGGTTAACGTCTGAGTGTGTACTGGACCGGCCTGCTGGAGAAACAGAAATAAAACTCAGATTGTAAAACAGTAAAGGACTTAGATACATTATTGTCTATTAACTACAGACTCAAATGAACTGTATTGTTGAACAGGATTGACAAAAATAGTAATAAAAAATATGTTACAGAATAGTTTGCAATTATGGCCAATACTGTTCACATATTTGCTTTCTTTCGGAGAGCTGGATTAGAATATCAACAGCACCCTCATATCTGTTCATTAAATGTGCAGCTTTAGCCAGCAGCCTTGAGCTTAGCTTAGCACAAAGACTGGAAACAGGTGAAACAACTAGCCTCTCTCTAAAAAGTAAAACAAATCTGCAAACCACCACCTCTGAGCACCGTTTTAAGGGTTATGTACCTGTCCGAGAACTTTCTTGACTCTGGTTGCTGGTTGCCTGACAACTGCTCGTGCTAAAAGCTATAACTCTCCCATAAAACAGTGAATTATGATTTTTCACTTTGGTTTTTGTACGGATTAAACAAATAACATATAACTTGTTCATGTGTGAGCTTTGAGGCGCTGGTAGGTCGATTGTTTTCCTTTGAACAGAGCCAGGCAAGCTGTTTGGCTAAGCTAAGATCACCGTCTCCTGGCTGTAGCCGTATATTTAACCAACAGATATGAATATGGAATCAACCTTTTCATCTAATTTTCAACAAGAAAGTAAAAAACATCACTAAACATCACTAGAAATGTGTGTGTGTCCATATCAATGACATTGGCCAGTTACTATGTCATATTCAGCAACTCTCCAAGTGTTAAGTTCAATGTGACCCCACGCCAAAGTGAGAATATATAGAGTGACTGCCACTCAAACTCATATACGAGTCTCCCCGCGTGCTTCAGACTTCAGCTTCCAGCTGTGGAAACCTGCCCTGTCATCACTGTGTGTGCAACCCTCTACGCGTCACCTCATGTCTATGTGCAGAGAAAAGATGCGAGTCAGGGTGCTCTTCTTTAGGTCTTATGAAGTTATTTTGGCTGAAAATGTCCCTTTTAGTGCTGATCCAGTCAAACTATGTCAGCATATAAATGAGCCGACTATTTTATTCTACACCCTGACCTTTTTCTATCCTCTCCTTTGAGAAAAGAAGCTGTCATCCAGCTCTAAAAATGCCTACCTTTTTAAGTTTAAAGCCATTTCAGTGAAAGTAAAAAAGAAAAACACGGATTCAGGAGGACTAACAAACAGGGAATTAACACCGTCTGTGTTGGATGTTTTACTCTGTCAGGGTTGCGTCCACGAGCCCGGCGAGGGGGTTTCCAAGACTTCTCCTTGGTGATGCTATTGACGTAGTAGCATCTCCCTGTGGGCAGGTCCGAATACTGCTCCCACAGATCCATGACCTGGAGAGGCTGCTGAGCCGGGGCAGGGCTAGGGGGCTCCAGCTGCGACAGACGTCTCTCTGGCTGCATTTCAGTGTAAAGAGGGGAGTGCTGCCAGGACAGCTGGGACAGATAGGATTCAGTTGGGACCTTGTAGGTAGAAACAGCAAATAGAGAAAGGAGAAAGAAAGTCGTGGACATGGAGGAAAAAAAAAACAAGAGTTAAATGCAAATGTAAAATTCACATAAGAAAATATAAAACAATATCACTCACCAGTTTATAGAATAAATGTAACTAATTGGACATAAGTTCAATGGTGCTAACTACGACTCAAAGGATAAAGCTGGTGGTATTCTATATTATTCTCTGTTGTATTGAAACACAAATACAAAACTATAAATAGATGGACAGATGAACTTTGGGCTATTACTGTAAAACAGCTGGGTGCAGTACTATTGAGCAAAAGCTACTTTCGGACTATTTTTAGCTGCAGATTAATACACATTTGATGCACTAATGAGTTTTAAGAGCAGCAGGATGCTGAATGTTATTGACTCAAAATAACCTTCAGTGCTGCATATTTATCGCTATGATGAACATGTCGCCCAGTGCAACCTGTGCCTGTGTTTTCTGATTGCTGTTTTGACAAAAACAAAACTTTATGGCACAGAAGAATATGCTATATTAGTCTCTGGCTACACCGACTATACTTGTTAACTGAAAATATTGATTGTTGGTTTGGGTCTTTTAATGGGAATTGCTGACAATAAGAACATTGAATATTACCAGCATTATTTGTAAATTACCGAGAGAGAATGTATGGATATTTGTTGTTCTGCTTGTGCATTAGTACGGAAATACTACCATATGGTTCTGTGTATGTAGTACCACAAGTACCACAAGTAGAAGACATCAGTGCCTTAAACAAAACCATCATCTCAGTGTGTGAATAAGAGACAGAAATCACAAAGAGAAACAAGTAAATCCCTCAACCTCTTACTATGTAATAACCCGTCAGACATTGGATTAAGACAGAGTTTAAAGAATCGCATGTGCTCACCCAGATAGAGTGGACTGAAGCAACAAGAGAGGACATTTACAAATCCAATGAAATTAATTGAAGAGATATGCATGAAGCATCATCTTTCCACGAAATACAGCTGAGACATAATTCACTAACTGATTGACTGGCTGGCTAGCTGGTTGATCCCTGTTACATAAGACATAGTTCTTTCAGACAATGACTGAGGGGGCATGGTGTGTATGGTTGCACGTGTGTGTGTGTGAGTGAGTGTGTTAGTTTACTCCAGGGGGATGCACTGACTCTTGAGCTCACCTGAAACTTCCTGTCTCACTGTTTCCTACCATTCAGGGTTAAAATAAAACCGTTAGAAAACCATCTAATTTGTTCTACAAACTTCAACAATTAAAAGAAACTATTTGAGTCAGGAGAAAAACTTTAAAGACCATTCAGATAGCCGTGCAGCATGTAAGAAGTTAGCTTTTTGTGTGAATGTGTATTTGTGTATATATGTATGAGTTACTGCCATTCCAAACGTTTTTCTATCACACCTAATTTGTAATTTGGATTTTGGCTGCATTATGAATGAGATTTGTGTCATAACTACCTGTGGATGCAGACATTTGTATCTAAAATGAAAAACTGTGTACTCAAAAATATTAAAGACTTATCTGTTATTCACAATATCTTCTGTGATAAAGGTCTATTAATAAACTGGTCAAATAAGATAGCTATAAAGCATGTTAAAATATTACAATAATTACTTCCTGAAGTAGGACTCTTCAGTGGCCGACCTCACTACTGCTGTTGTAGCTAAATGTGAGCAAATCCCTGCAGCCAGGTTCCACAATCTTATCAGAAGAGTAGAGGCTATTATAGGCAAAAGTGCCAAAGAAACAACCTTTAAAAAAAGCATCAGTCAATTTTATCTCTTCAAATTCTAATGGGATTCTGCCCCCTGGAGGACAAAGAATAAATCTAATTGAAATTCATCATCAGTGTGGCAGCACTTAAAAAAGGCCTGACAAAAATTAATGGTGAGAGAATTTTGTGGATGAAAAACAGGTCGTTATGACCTGAATGTGGCCGCCATTATCCTGCTCACTGGTATTAAAGGCTAGAGCGAAGAAGGTCCTCAGAGCGAAGGGACAGATACAGAAACAGACAGGGAGGAAGAGGGAATGAGAAAGATAGAAAAGAGCACTGTCATTTCCACTGAGATCACAGCTATCCGATGTCGGAAGTCACCGGTGCATGCGCGGTTCAGTGGAAGCAAAACTAGGCTGTGGGAGCTTCCCTCAGCTGAGAGACGGATAACCTTCAGTATTTCTCTCAACGACGATGCCTTGTGTAATCCCCTCTGATGTAATACAGGGAAGCGCCGACGTCACCACAATGCCAACTTGATTGCTGCTCTAGGAAGATTACAGCGGTCAAATACAGACGTAAATCAAATACAACCTCTGCTGCCACGGCCGTCTGGTGGGATCGCGCAAGGTCTTTTTTAAAAATTGTAATCAGTTCTGTAGTTGTAGATTTATTTGTTTCCACCTGAAAAAGCTTCTCCGATTGAATGAGATTAAACAAGTATGCTACAGCTAAAGGCAAACACAAACTCCTATAATATACATTTTTTTTAAATTTGTTTTTGAAGTTATACTGTGCACAGTTAAGGCTAAAAACTAACAGCTGGTTTATTACAGTTTGGGTGTTATGACCTGTAAATCCATCAGATTAGGGAATTTGCTTGTGAGAGGAAGTCAAAATGAATCTAATCCCACACTTCTTCAAACACCAGCTATGGGATTAGATTTGTTTGACCTATTTTCCATAATTTACCTCACTGTAAATTTAGGATCAGAGGAAGCAGGAAGTAACAGTTGAATAAACAGTTGCGACTTTTGTTTGACCATTTTCCATTGAGTTACTGCTGGCTATCAGATGAAAATATCCATCTCTCCTTAAACCTGCAATACCTTGATTTGAGACAAAAAATATTTTTTCTACCTTTCCTGTAACCAAAATCAGAAATCTGATTCAGTTTCATTAACATTTACAACGAGATTTGTCTTGGTGTTTTGTTACATAACAATAAATACAAAGCAAAAGTCAAGAGACATAATATAAAATATAAAAAAAAAGAAATATGAAATAATATACCTGTTTTTAAAGTGGAAGAGCTGTTTAATTTGTGTAGGAATGTGCACAAATATTAATCAAGAGACGTACTAAAGTTCACAGTATCAAGTATAAGGTACAAAGAATATGTGCATGTGGGGAGATAGTAGAGATGTAACGGATAGCGTCAGATGTGAATATGAACAGACCACTACTGGCAATATTTGCAAATGAATAAAACACCTGACATGACTTCTACTGACTTCTAGACATGGATGTGTGTATGGATGAGCACAAAACATCACTGCCACATGTTGCACACTGTGTTGATTCAATCATTGCTCTGTTGCATTCAATTTATTGTTAGCGATCAGTTCTGTGAGCAGATCTTTGGTCAGACTTCTGCTGTCAATTATTTAGTGCAAGGCATCGATCTAACTGGGACAAAGGTTTACTCAAACATAACTGATGTGAACACGCTATAATAACATGCTATTTGTCAACCTACGGGTTATTCTCATATGTTTGTCTATTATGAATATTGGTTACTATGATTTACAACTTTTACTCACCACTTTGGTTGCAAAGATTTGGGAAACATGGATTTCAGTTTGAATAACATTGCTAGAGGAAAGAAGAGTCAGCCTCCTGCAGCTTTCCAAAAATATCAATTCAACATTAATCTAAAACAGCTGCTAAAGTTAAAAGTAGTACCCGTGTAATAAAAATGGATGAAAATAATGAGAATAACACCCAGGTTTACAAATACAGTACAGGATTTCCCCTTTACGCTCGAGTGTGGCTCTGCTGTGTGAACCAGATGTTTGAGTAACCTCTGTTGGAGGTTTGTAGGGCTTGCCTCTTCCTACCTGCAGATGGGTTTTCTTGCCGGAGGCTCCCACCATGTCCCACTGGCTACACGACTTCTTGGGCATCCTGTGGTTGACGCGACTGCTGAAGCCGCCGCCCACCTCGTCGTACGGGTTCTCCATCAGGCTTTCAGGCAGGTTGCTGGAGCTCTGGCTCCGAGTGATCATGGGGACCGCCCTGGGGTTTGGCGGTGCTGTTTTTGATGCCGTGGAAGCTGCAGGGCACCCAGGGACCATGAGGTGGCCTGACGGGGAGGTGGGAGTGTTAGGGATTAGGGTGAAACCAGACCAGAGGGGCAGGGTGGGGAAGCGGCCTCCACCCCTGCTGGTGTTGTTGTGCAGCCCCTGGAAGGCACTGTTGGAGTTGAGGTTTTCCATGGAGCGGAAGATGGGTTTGTTCACTGAGGGAGGAAGGCAAAATAAATTATAATTTTACACGGATCAATAAAGAACATGTTTGCCACTAAAATCAAAAGAAACATCAACACACAAGATATATGACAGAATTAAACTAAAGAAATATTCACAGATAAATTATTGTCTTTCAGTGGAATCATATTGTGATGAAATCATATATTGAGACAGCATGATACACAATTACGTCATCTATATTGCTGATTGCAAGCACATTCTGCTCTATCATCATATATATTGTTATCGAGATGTGAAATGAACTAAATCCAGATAGAAGGGCCCAGCCCTCAATGACAAACACACACCAGATGTCTCCTCTGTCGTCCTCTCACACTTTACCTTGACGCTGGTTATTATAGGTTGTCTCTTTTGGGCTGGGAGAGAGTGACAGTCTTGGCTGTGTCCTGAGGTTGGAGTTCAGCGAGGCAGACACGACCAGGCGCTGCGGCGAGGGCATCGGTGCAATGGGCACCTCTGTCACATACGTAGCGGGAACATACAGTGGCTTTGTTTTGCTGGCCGCCCCGATCCGCCGCACCTGTCAAAGAACAAACAGATTTCAAAATGCTTTCGCTTTTTTCTCCCATATAAATCCACTTAGTTCAACTGAGCGTCAACCAACACAGCTGAGGCCGGAACGCTGTGCAAAAATGTGTTACAGTTCCTGTCACGTCCAATAGATGCAACGAGAAAACCCACAACTTCTCTTTTTAAACACATAGTTTGTCTTTTTTTTTCGACACACAAGACTTTATGGTCTCAGTGGCTAATGTCTCTTTTAAAATGTGTTTCTGCAATTTGATAGATATTTGTGAACTGTCAAGAGATTTTGGAAGAAGTGTAACGATACACACATCACATGTAGATCCACAGTCATTGGAAATAATAACAAAACATTTTGTTGATTTGAAAATGGTAAAAAATTAAATGTTTGATTGAATAATTTATCCATATTAAACGTGTTTGAGAGTGAGCATACTTGATTGACAGGTGTCTCAAGCCCCTTTCACACAGCCTGTTCAATGCGTGACTGTTACGCCATTATTTTGCCTCGCTGTTCTGTATGAAAAGTACGGAGGCTGGACGTGGGGACAGAGTTGTTCCACCACTGAACCACTGAGAGGTAGTCACAGAGCAAAGACGACGTCTGTGTGAAAAGGTACAGCCGGCACGGCGGAACGGGTGTGACGTATATTTGTGTGCCCACGACCATTGTGAGATTTTTAAAAAAAAATTTTAAATGCTAGAAGCAGTTAGCAGCAAACCTAGAGCAACCAAGAATATTGGCAAATTGGAGAAAAGGAGGTAATCAGTTCATTCGCCATAATTGTTTAGGATGCAATTCGCTGCCTGACCGGTATATTAAACGTCACACTAGACAACAAGTATTTCCTGTGTAAGCAAAGCCTGATATACAGTAGCTTATTCCTCTCACAAACTGTAAAGAAAGCATCAGTGATGGGTGATCATGTTCCTTAATTAAGTTTATTTTCAATACACTGCACTACTGCCGTAAATACTAGCTTGAGAAGTAAATCCGCAACTAAAAATAGTCCCCAACAAATGCACTAAAAACAACTGAAGCTGGAGTCATTTTGTAAAAGTGTAAGTTTATGTTATTGACTAGTTTTTAAGTATTTACATCAGTAACAAAAAATGGGCTTGGGCCTAAGAGACACAAATAGGGTGCAGATGTCAGAAAGTATTGAGAGAGGAATCGCATCATTGGTGTTGGTCTTTTCATGGGATTTGATGACAATAACAAAAATATAGAATATTGTTAATAAGTGCAGTGTTTTCATTTCAAATTCAAACTCTGAAACCTCCCTTCAGAAACCCATAATGCAGAACACCATAGATGCTATGTCCATGCTTTTATAAATCTTTGGTTCCACCGACACAAGACGAACTATAGATCAACTTATTTCTCACCTGCCACCAGTCATTGTTGGTCTTTTTCAGTAGAATAAACCGTTCGCCCTCCCTGATGCAGACCTGCCGCCCATCAGCGCCGCGGTAGCTGTAGTCATACTGGGCCTCGAGGACCACCGTACCGCTGGGGACCCCACACACTGTCATGCTTCTGGGGGTCACCACAGGTGCTGTAGCAGGCTGCTGGGGTCCCATCGAACGCCGCCAAGTCCCAGACAGCATGGCTCTCCACACAGTTCTGTTCAGCAAGCTCTTCTGGCAGCGCGCTGATGGTTGGTATTGGTGATACTGGTCGGTTTAGCACAGGGGAGGTGAGACTGGAGCCAGGCCAGTGCCATGCTCTGAAACTAAGGAAAGAATGGACAGAGAGGTGCAGAGAGAGAGAGAGAGAGAGAGAGAGAGAGAGAGAGAGAGAGAGAGAGAGAGAGAGAGAGAGAGAGAGAGAGAGAGAGAGAGAGAGAGAGAGAGAGAGAGAGA